CATAGATGAATAAGTTGAAAATGTGGCTTAGCACTTTTTCATTTGAACACAAGTAATGTATAACATATTTCATATTCTACATGCTTGAACGTGCAAAATTAATCATGCATATTCGTGAAAATGACGGAAAACCTTTACGCTTGTATACGACGAGTGTAGTACTAACACAAATAATAATTAATAACTCATTATTTACGACGAATTTGTGAACTTTTAGAGTTGAAGAATGAAGTATGGACCTTCAGCAACTTCCTTGTATAATTTTTAACACGTTAGACCCGTTTAATAATTAGTTATTAACAATTTTAGTATGTGATGTCGGGAACGATACCAAATACCGTCATGTATCTTTACGTTTTTGCAATAATTTCATAGCTTTCTACTAAATTCTCATGCAAGTAACTATACGCGTCTCAAAGGCAACTCCTTCAGCTACATAGAAGGGTTATCTGTAGGGGTGGAGAAAAATGTTGAGCATGTATAATGACGTTTTCTTTGCGCGGAGCCTTTGTGTAAAATTATTGCTAAAATATATTTTACAAAAGGTTACAATATACCAGTGTTGTTTTACAGCATTTCACAGACTATTTTCAGGTGATTTTTAAGTAGCAAGATACTTTTATTTCACTGTTCATCTTTGAAACTTGAATGCACACATTGTTGCAGTCTCTATTCTCGAATGCAACATCGATGGAAGCACTATTTCGAATGCAAAACATTGTTGTACGCGTTACTTTTGAACGCAACATTGCTTGAAGCGTTATATTTGAACGCAAACATTGTTGGAATCTCTATTTCTGATTGCAACATTATCAGAAGCGTTATTTCGAACGCAAACATTATTACAAGCACTACACTTGAATGTAACATCGTTAACTCGTATTATTATCGCTATTATTATTCCCTCCCGAAAATTGCACATTGTTGCAAACGCGTACCGGGTGTGCAACTTTGTTGCCGCGAATCGCTCCCGAAAATTGCACAATGTTGCAAACACGTTCTGGGTTTGCAACTTTGTTGTCGCGAAAAATTGCACATTGTTGCACGACGCACCTTTTGCAACAATGTGCAATTTTCGGGAGCGACTTTCGGCAACAAAGTTGCAAGCGCGATCTCCCCCGTTATGCAACTTTGTTTCCGCGAATCGCTCCCGAAAATTGCACAATGTTGCAAACGCGTTCTGGGTTTGCAACTTTGTTGTCGCGAAAATTTGCACATTGTTGCACGACGCGCCGTTTTGCAACAATGTGCGATTTTCGGGAGCGACTTTCGGCAACAAAGTTGCAAGCGCGATCTCTCCGTATGCAACTTTGTTGTCGCGAATCGTTCCCCGAAAAAGCACAAAGTTGCAAAACGGCGCGTTGTGCAACAATGTGCAATTTTCGTGACAACAAAGTTGCAAACTGGATAACGCGTTTTGCAACAATGTGCAATTTTCGGGAGCGACTCGTGGCAACAAAGTTGCATAACGGAGAGATCGCGCTTGCAACTTTGTCTCTTCTTTTGTTATCCGCGGACCGCGCGAAGTTTGGCGAGAAACGATCATGTGAGTTCACCGATCCGGTCGTAACATCAGATGTTTCGGATAGGTCAGGATCGACACACTGACCCAGTTCCGTCGAAGCCGGACGCATTTGTTCAATCGCGTGCGGATGAGCCTCTGTTCTCCGCCCCTGAGCGCGGGCTCTACGCGCGCTGTAATTGGCCAGTGTTTTTCGTTAATAACTCGAAAACGAAGCTTCAAACTGGATTTTGGAAAAGGAAAAAGTTGTTCAGAGTCACCCCAGCAACCCCCCATTTCCGGGTGTTCGAGGAGTTATGGGACGCCCTGTATAAGCAATCCAAGTAACACATTTTGTATTTCGTTCTTACCTATTATAAAAGAAACGCTATCGCGCTGCTTAGCATTTTGCGACACAGAATAAAAGGAGCGCTATCGCGTCGCTTGGATCTTCTCGCATCCCATTCAGAAAGCGCTATTGCGCTGTTCGGCTTTTTTTAAAAACCTCTGGTACTAAAACGGTCAAACATATGTATACGTATGCACCTCGGATAGGTATAGATAATTTCGTCAGAAAAGAGTTGAAAATGTTATAAAATAACTGTATAAAGGGTGTTCCGTTTAACTGGAAACGGTGGAATGTCTCACAGGCGATTGATGTTCTTACGAAAGTTGTCTGGTACATGGAGGAAAATTAAGTGGTATAAATAATCGATGTCTTCTCCTCGTGAAATTACGCGTCCGTTAAACATTCCCACCATTGGCCCACCAAGATCGTGGGATTCAACGCCGTTAGACTATTTTCTATGGGGATTCTTGAAAAGTAAAGTCCACGCTAATAATCCAAGGACTGTTGACGAGCTGAGAAACAATATCACAGCCGCGATTAATGAAATTGAATTTCAGTTATGTGAAAATGTAACGGAAAATTGGCAATGAAAAACAGCCGAGGAGGACACTTGAATGATATTGTCTTTCATAATTAATGTCACAAAGCAGACTTTGTGTTAAAGTAAAGAAACCATACAAATCTCAAATACTTTGCGTTTTACATCAATTTCAAGATGTGACACTTAATTTGGATAACCCTCTATATGTAAGAATTGAACAAGAATGGAAAATGTTTTATATTTAAGAAGTACTAATACCTTATTTATTTTAGGAACATTCGCCTACGCTGGAGCACAATTTGGTACGGTGATTTGCTTTCCAATTTCTGGAGTGTTAGCAACGTCGAGTATCGGTTGGCCATCCATATTTTACGTGTTTGGTGCTGTATCGATAGTTTGGAGTATTCTGTTTTTCGTTTTCGGTTCTGATAGCCCTTCTCTGGATTCGCGAATATCGGAAAGGGAAAAGCGATATATAGAGAATAGTCTGAACAGTGCCGAGGACAAAGAAAAGTCGCAGAATGTACCGGTAAGTATTTTTTTTTGTAACATGTACATTCACTTACGATACTAATATTTTACTACTAAAATATACTAGCTAACTTTTGTACTTGTTTAGATTTAATACTTGGTTTTACATCTTGTTCCATTTCATCGTAAAATTGAAATGTTTCTTTTGCTCCTGTGCATACTTCCTTTTCAAAATGCGAAGGGAATTTAATAAGAATAGTTTGAAGGAATTGCAACTTGTAGTCTGTAGTTTAGTATAAGACATTTGCGTTAGGTTTTCCACATGAATAGACTTTCCTCTCATATTTCTAGATGCCATTTAAGTGACGTAAATACATTATTCTACATTACTACATACACATAGATCAAACGTTAGAATCAGATACTAGTAATGTGCAATAGCAGCCTGACTGATACAGTCCAATCAAGATTTTAAAACCAAGTACGATCCAAAATTTCTATTGTCTTCACATTGATACATTTACTTATAGTTAATTTTGAACTTGGTCCATTTTATTTTATTTCGTTTTCTTGAGAAATATATGCACCCACGACATGAAGCTATTTTATTATTACAATGTGTGAGTACATAATTTCTTGCACCTTACAAAGTGCAATAGGATTGTACACATATTTTCACAAGAAACTTTGGTTCACGGAAGAATTTTGCAAAAAATATACACTACCGGCCAAAAGTTTCGAATCACCGAGCATTGTAATTTACATAAAAATTTGCAGAAAGAAGTTTTATCGTTCGAATCAATTGATATGAGATAAATTGATAAATGTAGAATCGAGGTAAATTTCAGATCTATAAAAAATTAGCAGCAGATTTAATATTGATGAAAAGTGGGAGGTGATTCGAAACTTTTGGCCGGTGGTGTATGTTGCTTAATATCTTACTCCTGAATTTAACTTTTGTTTTGTGTACAAATACACATAAAATAATTTATTTTTAACTTTTAATTCCATTGCAAAGGTAAAATTATTAATTTTATTATATTTAAAAATGCGCACGTTTGACGTGTGTTTATTTATGAATAATAATGAAATAATTTTGTAACAAAGTATACAGTACCGAATTAGAACTAAATTATTCCGAATAATATAAAATTTGCTATAAGCTTATGATAAAAAAAAGGGGGGGATAAGAAACGTGCAAAAATGAATGATTATTGTGGTGTAAATTATTTAAAATTTGAAATAATTCTCATTTCTGTGTGCATATTGATATTAACAACTAAGCTAAGCTACAGTAAATTTACTTTCATGTTTATGAAAGGTGACAAAACCACCATGGAAAGCCATTTTTACTTCGTCACCGATGTGGGCACTTATAATTGTACATTGTGGACAAAATTGGGGCTACTGGATTCTAATCACGGAACTGCCAAGTTACATGGATGCTGTGCTGAAATTTGATTTTGAGAAGGTAAATCAAGATTTGTTGTATTTTTAATTCCTAAAAATTGTATCTATGTATAATGTTCAATGTAAAGTAACTAATTCAAGGGTAGAATGAAATTTAGGTATCGAAACAGCAGAATTATACGATTGCCAGGCGTTTTTAGGAAATTATTTTCATCGGATATCATTTTTTTCTTAGAAATCAATCTTTCCATCGTGATCACATTAAATTAATAATGTTAGACGTCAGAGGAATTATTTAATTTATATTCCAAGTAATGTTACTGCTTTGGATTTTAGAATTATCTTAATTCCTTGTATAGAGTAGCTTATAATTGTTTCTACAGACTAAAATTTCTAGGAGAATGCTTGCAGGTAAAAATCCGCAAAAGAACGCGACGCGACAGTTTATAAACATCAAAATAATGTTTACTCG